ATTGGGGACTTCCAGGGATGTCCTCAAGGATAAAAATTATTGTTCTTTTTTTTATTTTTTTTTAAATGCTATAATAACAAAGAAAACAGCTTAATGAAATGACAAAGATGTATAAATAGGTTTCTGTGAGGGTTAGCGTATAGACAATATAATTTACTAATATAAAAAGTATAAAAGTCAATGATATAAAAGCAAATGTGTTTGTATATGTGGGCAAACTCAAAACCAACAAAATATAATCACATTTATATATATTTTGTGTGGTTGCAAAACTATCATATCTTTTGCCTTTTTCACATTATATTCAAATGTATTGTTCACTGTACAAAAATCCTTCTGAGGTTGTAAATAAAACCAAGAATAAAACAGTTTTTCTACTTAAATTTTTTACATTTAATTCAAAGTTTTATTTGCCGTTTCTTTGTAATTAATTTCAGTTTCTGAATGTATAATTAAGTTAGCTGATTCATGTATGGGATTTTTATTCCTACATTTATTTTGTAAACTACAAATAAAATATGATTATATTTAAAATGCATTTCACACCTATAATTTGACATTTTTGTTGTCCTTTAAATTATCACAATTAATCATTTATTCATAACTGCATTTGCTCTTTTCTAAATCTTTTAGGAACATCTTTCTAGAGGCAATATAAACAGGCGGACATCAGACAATGACGGGTCACATAAGATTAACCACTGTAATGTAATGTTGGTAATTCAGAATTTGTTTTGTTAGAAAACACTAAACCCAGCAGGATATTTTCTTTCACATATCAAGACAATCAAAAAAACCTTTCCTAAGTGATTCCCTGCTGATTTTTTCCAACAGTGTATAATGAGCTGGTGAGATCTTTTATCCTGCTGAGTTCAGCAATCACACACTCCATTGGCATTAGTCATTCAAGGCTGCATTTCTTTATACTTACTAAACCAACAATGACCTGTTTTTATGAACTATGCAACTTGTTGATCCGACACCAGCCTCTGAATCATCTAAAAATATTCCAGAGAATATTTGGATTGAACTTTTCCTTATTGATTGTTTAAAGAGTTTGACTCAAAGCCAATGAATGAAAAACAACACACACACACACACACACACACACACACACACAGACAGAGAGAGAGAGAAAGCCCAAACACACACACACAGACAGAGAGAGAGAAAGCCCAAACAGACACACACACACACACACACACACAGAGAAAGCCCAAAGATTAGCATGGTGTTGTTTGGGTTCATTTTCTGTTGTTACTCCTGTTGTGTTACTGCCAGTCACTGTGATGTAAGATGTTATTGGTGTGTGCTGTGAGAATTTTTTTAATGTTTTGAAACAAATTCACTAAGCTTCTTATGTTAAGTATTAGTTTTGAAAAATTCAGTGCAGTCATTTAAAATAAAGCAATCATTAAATACGTGAACATAATGCACAGTTAATCATTTTCACAATATAAAAATAATGACCCTAATGTAATGCCTACTAAATAAATATGATACTAAATAAAATGCTTTTTTTTTTTAAATGATCCTTATTTTCATGTAATGTGATCTAAATGTATGAGTGTGTCTGCACAAGCTCTTGGAAGGTTCATCCTACAACATTTACCGATTACAAAAAGCACTACCATTTCTTGTATTTCTGACTCATCACACATTTTGTTTATTAGAGGAAATTTTCAGACTGTTTTGTTCTCAGATCCAGGAATAGCATGAAGTGTCCTATCTCTAAATGTTTGTGCACATTTGACCGCATGCTGACTTTCGAGCTTGTGACAGTGTGTCAATTCTGGCCTTGAGATATGGACAGAAGTTTCTCACATTCATTCACGTACATCTAGCATGTCTTAAAGCTGTCATTTACAAAGCCTAAATGTAGCTTTACAAGCTTACAACATCATCTCTGTGCTACGAGAAGATTGTCAAGACAAATCCATAAAGTTGAACGGTGCCAATGCAAACACATTTAGTCTCATACTGATTTAGCATCTCAACTCTGACTCTTAATATACTCTACACTTATGATATCTTAAAACTTGTACAAAAGAACACATTTTATAATAATATTTTATAATATATTGTTGTTTAGTCCTTTTTGGAGCTTGACAGCCTGAGTCCCTATTATATGGAAGAATGGAAGAAAGACTTCTATTCCACAGAAAAAAAATTAAGTCTTACAAGTTTGGAAGGACTTGAGGTGAGTTAATAATGACAGAGCATTAGTTTTTGCCAGAATGATTACTTTAACTCAATACTCTAAGATGTGCTTTAGTGGTTCTTGTACTGTATGGCTATCCTTGTATCCAAACCACTGTGTTCCCATTGATATCCAGTGCTACTTGTGAGATACTAATGAGATACCTGTGTTTATCTACAGCATTCTGATCTTTACGGCATGGCTTTCAGCTCTAAAGCCTAAATCGTGTTAGAACTGTAGATACATTTGAGTACATTTTAAATCTAAAACCATTAGTGTTGGCGACGTGATCTCGTGGACTGTGTACGACCGCACGTGACCCAAGATCAAATCATTCCTTGATCACCACCCGTCTCCCCATTTTTTCCTGTCATTTTTTTAGCAGTACAGTTGATAAAAGTGGCAAAAGCCCAAAATACAGTAGTAGTTTTTCAACAAAATGAAATGTAACAACATCTTCGGTTCCCCAAATACAAAGTGTGAACTGGTGGATGATGTAATCCGGATGTGTGCTGATTTAAGTGGATAAAATGGTCGAGTATCTGATAGGTTACCAGCTATACTGGATGTGGGCATTTAAGTGGCTCAGCAAATTGGATCTTTATGTTAGGCAGGTTTGAGAAAACAGGATTGTAGCTTGTTGCATCATGCGTTGTCATTGAGTCTGGCTGTGTAATGTTTACATTGGGGTTTTTGTCAACATATATGTACTACAAGTCAAACATATGTCAGAAAAATTTATGTTACCTGTATAATGAAAAAAAAAAAGACATTTAACATTCTATGATATAATGTTTTCCATGCTTCATCGCTATTTAGAGATGTTTGCTGATGTGTTTGTTAAGTTGACACCCTATGTAAATGATGCAGTAACCTAAACAGAAAAATGCAATTAATTTGTTTAATTTGGGATACTCATGATGAGCTCAGGATATGCATCTCCTTATGGAACTTTAATAAGGTTAAGATGCACTGAAATTACAATGAGTTACATTCACCACCAGAAGACTAATCAACAACCGCTAAACGACCATTGGGACTTCAAAACCATATGGCTGGAACAAAAGAGTGCACCCTCATTGCTGTAAGACCCCCCAAGACGTAACCCTAAGTGCACTAATAAACAGTAATCTGTAGCTGTCTGCATTACAACAGCACATGCACACCACTCTTGTAACCACAAGCAAGGCTTAGTACAGAACAATGAGTGTGATTGGATTATGAGTCGCAAATCTTTTTGACAGCTCACAGACCACGAGCACTTAACTGCACTGTCACATGTAATCACATGAAACTCTTTATACAGATTACACCTATACAGTATGAATGTATATATATATTTAATGCAGTATAGTAATTACAGAGCATTTTGTTTTCCTACAGCAAGTTGTATTTGGAATGAATTAAGGAAAACTCATGATTTCAAGATTAAAATCATACAACATTACAATCTATTTTGTGTGCTTACAAGTAATATGTTTATAGTGTCACGTTGAGATAAATATAAAAGACATTAAAGTGACTATATGATCAATGTATCAATATATATCTGCATAATTTGTTTTTCATTCTTTCTTTCATCAGAATAGTGGCCTTTGGATAAGTTACCACAAATTCCCAGCAGAGGGAAGTATACAGCAATATTCTTTTTTGATGTAAGTTTTATAACATCACAGTAATTGTGTAACTTATAAAGCGTTTTGAAACTGTACAGTGTGTGAATATGTCATAAAAATGTTTATAGTTTATAGTCATGTTTATAGTCATAAGATTGTCTCCTAAATATAGGCCTACAGTTGTATAGCCTAATAATCAATTAAGCATAATATTGCTATATAATATAGGTAGCCTAGTTGTAATAACCCATGATCTTTAAAAGATCTGTAGTGACATTTGAGTCACAGCCAATTTACATTTAATTTAGAAAATGTAAACAGTTTGATGCATTGTTTGAAATTAGTCATTTTGGTATGTTTTAGATTAACTGTAGGCCATTGTAGATAATTGATGGGATTGATAAAATATAATAATTATAAAGCAGCTGATGAAGTGAGGTTGTAAAACTGTAACTTTAGACATTTAATCAAACTATGAATCTAATGACAGAGCTGTATTTAGATGATTCACGTCCAAGAGCCACAAAGCAACTTACGTTAGTTATGTCACTGCTGTTAAGATCCAGAAAGTAGCTGCCATAGTTCATACGTTCAATTCTCTCTATTTCCAGTCTTCCGAGACCACAAAACAGCAATTATTTGAGGAACATGATGACTAAATTTAACTGATGACTCACAGACTTGTCTCAGTTCAAATTGCGACACGCGCAGTTGGTTTCCTCATAGCGCCATATAAGGAGAAAAAGGAGGTGGATAAAACCCTCCTGTTTGTCAAGCGAAATTTGAATATGCAAAAAATGTAACAACAACGTGCCACCATAAATGAGACACATAGGGTGAAAACAATTAAATATACTGAATTGCAATACAGTGTATGCACTTTTCCATGTCATTTAATAACAGATTGAGTGCGAATGTAAAAGCCATATAAAGTCACGGATCCTGCTCCGCCTGCTCTGCCGCCGGTGTTCTGACCAATAATGCTACATATCAGATTATGCTACCAACACTGTATTTATCCTACTGTAAGGGTAAGTTTAGGGTTGGGGTAGGTGTACATGTTAATAAAGCCTCACACCTTATTAATATCATGCTGGAAGCAAAATCTGATAGGTAGCACTTTTCGCTATCGAATTATGCTGTTTTAATGGGAGGTAGCAAAATCTGACAGGGTAGCACAAATCGACAGAACACCGGTAGTAACGCCTCCGTGAGGTAGAGGACTTTAAAATCCTTCACAGTAAAATGAAAGCAAAAGGAGAGGGACATTTAGAATGAGAGAAATAATATTGTAAGAAGCTTGACTTTCTTGCGCAAGACTCTGTGGTGCGAATCAAGTCTCAGGATGAGTTCACAAGGTTCTGAAGATCACAGGTAAGACCCCGGCTGAAGTCAAGCTTCATGTTTAAATACATTTCTCAACTTCTGTTAAGGTGATTTAACTGTCATGTTGTGTTCACAGTGCTGTCAAGATGCCCCGTGCGTTTGAGCCTTATAAGAAGCATAAAAACATGGGCAAATGTCTAATCATCAGTAATGAGCACTTCTGTGAGTATTAGCCTGTATTAGCCAGGTTGAAGTTGTCTCTGACCTGCTTCCAGTATTTGGAACTGTTCTTTGCTACATATCTACCCTTTTGAATGGCTAAAATAACTCTAATATTGAACCTAATGCTACTGTAACTCTATTCTGAATTTTAAATTCTCTAAGTGTTAACCCTAACCTTGATTCTTGCTGACTCCAGCTTTTCAGTTTTGAGCTCTTATACCACATCTGCTTACAGTCTTGAGTTCTTATTCATGTGATTTTTATCATGTAAGACAAGTCTTGTTTTGTGGCATTCCTCCTCGTATCCGTTCCTGAAAAATAACCCTCTAGTATTTTCCTGATCACTCTGTCAGGGTTTATTTTACGATAATGAATGTCTGACTGTAGCATTACATCCACTTTTACCTGGTTACTTGAAATGAATAAGTAGCGATGAGTTGAAATGGTTAAATGATTGTTTTTCAGTCAAAAGAAAAAAAAAACACTCAAATCAGTTATTGGGTTTAAATCAGTCTAATGAATCGTGCACTCACTGATTCTGTCAGTCATTATATTAACATCTGAATCATTCATTGAATTGAAAGTCATTCTTTTCAGTATTTTCAACTTCCTCAGTAGTTCTATTGGATCATCAATGGAATTGTTAAGTGGAGCTGGAACCAAAACCAGAAATGATAAATTCCTTACATATCCATTCCCTAGTTGCTTCTCTTTTTTTTCTCCAGGCTCACCACATTTGTGTAGAAAGGGCTGTTCAGTAGATGAAAACTTCCTGTCGAACACGTTCAAGTCCCTAGGTTTTCATGTATAGGTGGAGAAGAACCTGTCAGCTAATGAAATGATTGGTGCATTGAGGAAAGGTACAGTATGATGTCATTTCCAGTATTCTGGATGTGTTATTGTGCCTGTATGAACTTATAAACATGGTGTTTGTGCCTCAGTATCTAAGGAGAACCACACAGACAATTCCTGCTTTGTGTGTGTACTGATGAGCCATGGAGAGGAAGGAACAATCCTTGGATCGGATGAGCGCTGGATGCCTGTCAAAACTCTGACCTCTCTCATGACCTCTGACCTCTGCCCTAGTCTGCGGGACAAGCCAAAACTCTTCTTCCTACAGGTAGCTGTCACCTGCAAAAAGCATGGAGCATTTCATAACATTTTGTCTATTGTTTGACTATTTGTGGTTGTTTTGATTACATATTCAGGCCTGCAGGGGGCTGGAATATGACCCTGGTGTTGAGGCAGACAGTGTAGAAGCACCGGGGGAATTCTTTGGGATATCTGACGTTCCCGAGGCAGATTTTCTCTGCTGTTATTCCACAGTGGAAGGTTTGCATTGCACTGACATAGTTGCAGCACAGGTGGATTTACTGATTTTTATACTCTCTCCACAAGCACTCGTGTATTTAAAAACACATTTATTTCTCAACAGGGTACTACTCTTGGAGAAATCCATAAAAAGGCTCTGTATTTATCCATGAACTTTGCGAGATGTTGAAGGACTGTCATCTAGAGATTATTCAGATTATGACAAGAGTAAACCATTGCGTGGCCAATCACTTCCAGTCTTACACCACAGACCCGGATACACATAGAAAGAGACAAATGCCGTGCTTTGCCTCCATACTGACCAAGGATTTTTACCTTCACGTGCCAGAGAAGAAAAATAAATGTTATTTTTAAATGACTGGCAGCAAGTCAGTGATAAGGTTTGCGAGGCAGAAATGTATTGATATGTTAGCTCTTATATGCAAATACTTTTCATTCAGTGTTCTGTAAGATACATGGGTTAATCAATTGATGTACAAAACTGTCAGATCAATATGGCAAAACTGTCTAAGAGCACGCAATTAATTAAATACTTCAGGTACTTCCTCCATTTGATTATTTTCTCTTTTTATTTCTAATAAAATGTTCAAACCAAAAGATAAATTTATTCACAATATAGGTAAGTCTTGCAGCTCATCTAACTATGAAGATCATGTCAATGTTTGTTTCACTCTTTGTTTAGATTATTCATATCATAGTTTTAAAAATATAATTATATACAGTTAAAGATTCAACAAAATCTATACATAAAAGGCCGTTAATTTGAACATTATAAAAGCATGGTAAAAATGAATAATAAAGTTTTATGTTAAGTTTCTACTAGCTTTAATCAAAATCGAGCTCTGACAGAACAGTGTCCGTACTAAAGAAACACTCATATATATTTTAGTTGGAAAGTGGAAGACCGCTATCGACTAGTGCTCAAATAAAGTTAAACTATTTACACTTGATGAAAGGTAGTTTCCCCACCCGGTGGAGAAAGAGAAAAGACAACACCAAACCAGATACAGAATAACAAGCATATGCATTTAAAAAGGTTATGCCACTATTTTGTTTCAAAAAACAGTTAAGGATCCATGCAATAATAGAAGGAATATACATGACAACCGTGGTCACAGTAGTTATTAGAATGAAATAAAACGCCCTTCTCTTCATGTGGTTTTCCTCCTCTCTCTCTCTCCTCTCTCTCTCTCCTAGTCCTGACTGCTTCAGAGCTCTGAGAACAGCCACAAGACAAAACAACTGGATGGAGAGAAAGAGGATCTGCTGTGCCAGCATGTAATACAAGTAAAAATCCATCAAGAAAAACCCAACAGTATGCTTATGGCATATACTGAGTATTCGTGAAAATAAATGTCCAGTGCAGTGTTATTGAAGTCATCGAAATAATCTGATCCATCTGTGGAGGCGATCTCACAGCAGGAGGTGTTCATCTTCACTATATGCGGAAAAACAAAAACAATTGTTAGTCAGTTGGTCAAAGATAGAAAAAAAGTCACTTATTTTTCCCAGTACATGTAAAGGACTGTTTTATTTAGATCGCATAGTTCCTGATCTAATTTCTTGCACTCTAATTAATTGACACACATGCGCGCGAGTTTCGACAAACAGCTGTAGCTTCATTCACATGACTTAACCCTCAAATGGTCCTCGTTTAATGTTTACACTTATGGTCTTTGGGGTCAATATGACCCCAAAATTGAAAGAGCAATTGTAAAAAATATATACATTTTTAATCATACAAATAATATATCATTTTTGATTTTCATTTTTGTTTACATCTCATCTATACATTAATGCTGTGTTTTGGGAGATATGAAGTACTTTTGTTCATATTTACCACAGAATTCCGCAACTACACCATTAGCTTGCATGTGAAATAATAATTTTTTATGAAAAAATCACTTAAATGATGATCTAAATTTAATTTAAGTTGTTTCTGGATGTTGATCTAAGTGTTAGTTGTAGAATTCTGCCATCTGTCTGTTAGAGATAAACCTAAACTTATTACAGTTTAGGAAATAAATAGTTTTGACCAGCAGAGGGCCATAGAGAGCCATTCATTTTACTGGATGTGGCCAACTGCTCTTGTTTGTGTGTGTGTGTGTGTGAGCATGTCTTTTCTACATTGCATTTGTGCTCTAGTACCAGGCCTTCATTTCGGTGTGAAAATTATCAGATTTATGCCGGATTTATTGATTTTCTTTGACAAATGGAAAAAAGAAAAAAAAAAAGATTTTTTTCCCGCATTTCCCATTCATTTCAATGTGGGGTCATATTGACCCCAAAGACAAGATCTGTAAACATTTTTTTTTACATACCTTCAGAACAACCGAATCAATCCCATTTTTTAATGTGAATATAGATAGATAATGTAGAAAAGTCACAAAATCTTATTCCGCTGAGATGAAGGGAACTATTTTTTTTAACTAAGGAAAAGTTGATTGGGGTCATATTGACCCCAAGGACAGATTGAGGGTTAAACTGAAAACGTGTACAGAATTTAGGTCTCGGAACCTATTGGGGACACTCACCGTCCGCTCACGTCGCACGTCTCACCGCTGGTGTGTCTTCATGTTCTCCAGAGCTGTGTGGAAGAACAGCGGGATGGGATTTAATTATACAGGCTTCAGGATTTAGACAAGCCCTACCGAGAAGACTAATTAAACCAGTTGAGATTTGTAATACCAGTAATCTGTTTTGTGTTGTGATGTTGGTGTAGTATTTAGTTGGGATGTGTTCAGAGCTTCAGAGATATTGAAAAGCGTGTCACGCCAAATAGATACGAGTTGGCAATTCGGTGGTTTGTCCCATTGACTCTTTCCAGTGCCAGTGTTTCAGTTTTTTTTTTTTTTTTGGACAAATGCACACCGATACATTTTCATACATACCATCTGGAATGGAAAACAAATGAAGTACCAGGTAATTGTTTAAAAAACAAACAATTCATTTAACAATCATTACCCATCCATCACTCTTTTGCAGTTCTATTTGATTTAAATGAAAAGAGCAAAAGTGTTACGTATTTATTTTCTCTCAAACTTTATTATTATTATTGTTATTATTATCATTTATTAACATTATGTATTTTTATTTTTTTAAATAAAATTTATTTTTAATTTTCTTTGAGGTTCTTTGTTTACATTAAAGTATATTGCCGTTACTAAAGAGTAAAATGAGACCTATTCTATATAAATTACCACATGCTAAAATACAAAAAATGTCAACATGTTACATAATATATCATTATGACATAAAACAAGACATACATTTTAAAACTTTGGTTACAAAATCTTTCCAATTTTCCAAACTGAACCTGCAGGTGTTGATCTTTATAAAGATAGTTTTTTTTTTTTTTTTGCGGATTTGTTTACAACTAAATATTAATTTCGTCCATTATTATTCATGCATTTTTTGCATCTTAAAGCAGTGGTTTTCTAATGTTTCAAATGCAGAATCCATGTTAGTCTAGGATTGTGAATAATCGCAAGTGTCCTTTTGAAAGCAGAATGTAAATGTTAACTTTATTTTTTTTTCTCATTTTAAATTTTCCACAGACCCCTTGGCAATGGCACGCAGTGTTTGCTAAGTAATCAAGCAGAAAAGATTTTGACAAATGAACTGCAGTGTCTATATCGTTATTGTTATAGTTACTGTTTTTGGTGTGAATGGGCCTTAACTTTTATTTATGATGCAATGACTCATACATTTAAAAATATCCTACACAAACTATGACACATCATATCAACACATTTTCATAAGAGGCTAGAGATTAATATCATACAGAGAAGACTGACATGGCAGTTTTATGAAAATCAGAGCAAAGGGCAATTGTTTTTATTCGGATACACACACAATCAATATGCTATGTAATTCTTTATTTCTTTAAAATATGAGTTATCAGTGGAAAGGGTTAGATCAGCTATGGAGACCTACAGAAAGGCAGTTTGCCAACTCTGTGAATGAAGAGAAGAGGTTGCACAAAACCAGCCAGAAAGAAACATGTAAGACTCAGTGATTCTAGCACACGGCTTGCAGGTATTGATAGAATATATTGTAATGCTGTGATTGAACTGGGGACATAAGCGATTACTAATGTCACAGTAGTTATTAGAATGAGGTAAAATGCTTTCCTTTTTAGGTGGTTTTCTTTATCTCTGTGTCTTCCTCCGTCTCCAGGTCCGGGCTTCTTCAGAGCTCTGAGAACAGCCAAACAGCAGAACAGGTTTACGGCGAGGAAAACTATGAAGTGTCCCATGTACAGGCATTTAAAAAGGCGCATAAAACACGGGTTTACAAATTGCAGAGAAAACACACAACATGCAATAATCATTATCCAGGTAACAACAGAGCATGCAACTTTGTATCTGAGATGTTTGTACTTCAGAAAGGTTACAGGATGAACCACTGCCAGGTAACGCTCAACACTGATCAGACACTGAAAGAAACGGGCAGTCGTGACAAATCCTGACAAAAACATCATAACGCTCCAGAGCTTTGGATATACATTGCCAAGCACAGAATTGAATGAACGCAGATATAATATAATCTCACAGATAGAGATATTTAGAGTGAAGAATTCAGATGCAATTCCTTTTCCTGTCCCTTTGACAATAAGCCACAGAATATAAGAGTGTGTAGGAAGACCAAACAGGATATTGATGGTATGTAGTACAAGATCATATGGTGCATTATAATATCTGGACAAATTGATTATGTTACATGCTTCATTTGTTGGACGTGCAGCAGT